TAACCAAAAAAAAAAAATCCATCTAAGTACTTCAGCTTCAACAACTCTAGCTTCTTAAATCCTCATCCTCAAAGTCTCCAAAAGTTCCAAAACCTTAAAACCCCTTTGAAGGACCACAGAAAGGTATTCTTTCTTTTTGTTGAAGGCATAGTGATGCATTATTCATCAAGAAGCTAATGGCGACTTTGGAATTGTGAGTTTATTCAAGCCATCTGAGACTATTTCTTTGGTTCATTTGGTATTTGTTTGACGCATAACTAGGGTGGTTGTTTGATGATAAGAGGGAGTTTGGTTGCACCCATCGTCTTTTATAAGGGTTGTGTCCTTTGGCATGCAGGTATTTTTGTTTTTCTATGGTGTATTTGACTTGGGTTTAATCTCTAGCTAGATTCAATGCTTCTTTCTGTACATCAATTTCTAAAGATTTTTTTAGTTATCCTTTATTTTTTTCGTTTGAATTGGAAACCTTTTCCATATAATGTTTTGGTTTGGCTCCTTTTGTTGGGTTGTCACTTTGTAGCCCCATTTGTATTCATAAATTTTTCTCTATGAAAGCTAACGTTCTCCTAAACATAAAAAAGGTGTTCATATACAAAGCTTTTCAATTATAAAATTCAGATCGAGAGTGAATTCAGATATAGCCTATTTTGACCATGAGAACTAGATTATCATTCATCCCATTCAAGTTCTTTAATTGTCTTCCTACACACATTCTTTCTCCGAATATACCTACATCAAAATTATGTCACATTGCAAGCAGAAAAATAGTGAGCGTAATAAAAAAATACTATGTCAAAATGAATGGACTGAATAGCTAACTGAGATAGCGATGTTATACAGGGTCAGGCCTATCAAATGGCACGTGAATGTTTTGCCAACGGATATGCCAGATGACCAGAAAATGAAACAAATGATTCCTGTTGGGAGTGGCCACTGTCATGCATCCTCCAAGCTAAGAATAAACAACAATATAATCAAGGAAACTGGAAAAGAAATCACGAAATTAAAACATAATAATTAAAAGAAGCACTGCACTACGTCTTTCGATTACGTGGGTAAAGTAATGTACATATATTTAAAAAGTAGCATAAAGAATAGATTGTAGGTTTTGTAGGTTGAAGCGGGGGTAGAGACCAAACGTTTAATTTAAGATGAAGCGTGCTTTATGCTTGAGTCAATAAATCTCTAATCATCCACATAGCCTATTTCATCTACCATTAAGTAGCCCACAGAATTAAATATAGTTAGTGCCTAGCCAATGCTAAGAAAAATGCAAGAGCAAATGACTAATTATTGAACAACGAAGTAAAGAAGAGCAAGAGAAAGATGAGCGTGTACTTCGAAAGAGGTGGTTTTCAAGGCTTCCTCTAAACATGAACTCGTAGACAAGTAATCTGTGGTCATCCTCGCAGCAGTAACCAATCAACTTTACAAGGTTTGGGTGTCTTAGCTGACCAAGAAAGTTGACTTCTGTCTGCAATAAAGCAACAAAGGGTATGAAATACCAAATAGAAACATGACTTGCACAGTGACGTGAGAGAAGAGACATACAAGCCATTCTCGGTGTCCCTGGAGGCCTTCCTTATTGAGAACCTTGACAGCAACAGGAAGAGATTTGAGGCCAACCCTGACGTTCTCGTCAATGTAGCCTTTATAAACAGTTCCAAATCCGCCCTCTCCCAGAATGTAATCGGAACGGAAACTCTTGGTGATAGTTTCCAGCTCGAACAATGTGAAGGCAATAATGTGTGTGTAAAGCACCGAATTCTTTCTCAAATCCTCGAGGCTGCGAGGGGTCGAAGGATCGCTTAGATCTGATATGGACCGGTTATGAATATGCTTTTTATCTGTAGCATTGTTGCTGCCGTTTTTCACAGCCAATGAAGACGATAACGTATGCAACTGTTGAACTGCAGAATAATGAAAAATACTACAATTGAGTTCAGAATTTCAGCACAACCATACCGATTTTAGCTCGATTCAGTTCGTTTCCAAGTTGAAAATTCGACAAAACTAATCCAAAAGCGCGGATATAGATAACCAGCACATTGCCAAAGACAAAATGAGAGAAGAGAAGAGAAAGAAAAAACCCTAGATCTGAGTTTTTTTTTGAAGAAGATGCGAAAATTCATAAATCAGAAGAATACCTTGAGCATTGGAAACAACAGCAGACTCTTCTCTGGTACCGCAGTTCCCCATTCCGACTGGACTAGTTTGACTGGGATTGTGAAGCAGCAGTGGTGACGGCGGTAGGCTCGGGTGGTGTGCTGACTACGCGGACCAAAAAGCAATAAATGGACAAATTACTGTTGCAATGACAGTGACAGTAGCAATGGCAGACGTCGTGGGAGAGATGGAATTGCTGCTCCACAACACTTTCATTCTTCTCAGAGATTGGTCTAATCTTTGTCCCTTTCAGGCCGTAACGTTGTTAAACGCCGACGCCCCCTCCGGCTGCCTTCAACTTTTTGCCTTCAGCCATTGCGCGGTATTGTCTTGATCTTACCAAATAAACAGTACCCATAAAATAATATTTCTAAATTTTCCATTATTTATTTATTTATTTATTTCAATCATTCCTCCAAAATTATTCATTAAATTTTATTTTAGTGAGTTCCTGCATAATTTATATATATATATATATAGATAATCAAACTTTTATAAAATTAAATAAAAAAATAAAAAATACAGATAGTTAATATTTTATTCCAAAAATATTTTAAAATTTTAAAATTTTAAAACTTATTTAAAAAATGCTCTTAAATTTTTAAAAAATTTATTAATATTCTTAAATTAAAAAACTTTTAAATTTTTTTTTAATTTTTTTAAAAAAATTAAAAATATTATAGTTAGTACGACGTTTCAAAAATACCCATGAACTTACGAGAGTAATATTAAGATATTTGTAGATAATTTGTAAGATGTCGATTAATTTTTTAATTTTCGTTCATGTATGGTGGCAAACAAATTAATTTTTTTAAAAAAATAAAAGATGCTACTTTAAAAATTGTAAAGGTAAATATATTATTATTATTATTATTTTAATTTTTTTACTAAATATGTAATATATTATCAGAAATAAAATAAAATAAAAATAAAAATAAAAATCTTATCTCGCTGGGCTTGGGCCGCTGAATCGGGTGTCCAGAAACGCTACGGGGAGTAGTAATTTCACCGCGTATTTGAAACTGCTCGCTCCTAAGCCGTCTAGACAACCTATCCTTATCTTGTTATCCATAGTCCACGGACTGGGACACTCCTACAATGGCAATGGCGATTACTACGGCGACGGCGACGGCGAACAGCCGGTGGAGCTTCTCGTCAATGAGGTCAGCGCTACCTTTTGTGGAAGTAGGAGTTCGTACTCCCTCTCGCGTCAGCTTCCCGTCGTCCAATGGTCGAGCCAGTGGCAGAACCTGCAGCAAACAGATTGCCTCCTTTTCGGGCTTGTGCCCTTTGAACCCTCTCATTTCTATTGGCTCATCAGGTAATTCCGTTCCCTCTCATTCGCTACTTGTGTAGCGCCGTCTAATTTGATTTTTGACTCTACGGATTCGTGCGTCTCTTCTGCCTCTGATGGCTGATTGAGTTACGTTCTATGAATTCAATGGTTCTGCTATAGTTTTATGTTTTCGGTTTTGATTTCTGTTTGAATTGGTATGTCTCTTTTGTTCGGAAGTGTTTTGCTACTAATCTTACACTGAAATCTCCTGCTAATTTTGGGAACAATGAGAAATCTTGAGTTCATATTCGCGGAAAATGAAATATGAAATGTCGATCACCGTTTGTTGCACACCTAGTGAGTTTCAATGGGAGAGGAAACGTGAAAATCTTTAGATTTCCTTCTTTCTTTGCTCCGTCCATGCGAGCGAGTATTTATTTCCAATCCCTGCAGCATTTTGTCTGTCGAACAATTATCAACAATAGGACTGGATTGAAGCAAGTGAATTTTCAGGATTTCGATCATTAAGCATCCATCCTCCATTTAAGGCAGCAATGTACAAGAATCTAGAGAATCTAAAAAATATATATGAATCAATTATTGCCAATATAGACTTTCAACTGGTAAATTCGATTCTTCCTCACCAAGAGTTTGATTCGATATTAAGACAACTACCTACGGGTTCTAGACAAAATTTCTTCCCGTCCCACCCCATCGCTCCTTTGCTTAGGTTTACTTGCGTCTAATGTATTTAGACATGAATTGAACGCCTGTGTTTTGGACACCATAATTTTGTTCCATTTTGCGCCTATATTTACCGAGCTGGACAATGTCATGTGCTTGCTTAGTACTAGGTTGGGTATAAACTTTGCTTATAGATTAAATTCTTGTGCACATGATATAGATGTTCTTGAATATTGCTCTCATGGAGCTTATAATTACTTTCGCATATCACTTGATGAGCGAAGTTAACGTTTCAAAACTCTGCAATTTAGTGGCCGAGTATTGTACAAGTTTTTTGTTGTTGAATGTAGTAGAACGTTAGGTAGTGTTGAGGATATTTAGTCTTGAATTATGATTTATCATATGTCGTATTTGACCCTTGATCATAGGCTAATATCGTGTATGCATTTATTGTTCTTTCCATTTCATTTGTAATTCATTTGATTCCGTGAATGATTACTATTTTCTTTGTAGTTTATTTGATTCTGCAAATGATTATAAATAGAGAACTTTCACCAACATTTAGGTGTGATGGTTTTAGCAAATATTATCGGGTAGCTTATAGAAATAGATATTTTATGTCATGAACTAACCTAGAATCCCACAACTATAATAAAAATGATATCTTGTCACTTGTTACGTAAATCTCATCAAATAAAAAGAATTGTTTGAAGATTATAAGCGCACATGGAATTCGTGAGATTCATACAAGTTCTTGGGAGCATGATTTTCAAACAGTTTCTAATGGAATTCCTGAGATTCATACAAGTTCTTGGGAGCATGATGTTCAAACAATTTCTAACGGAATTCCTGTTCATGATGCAGATTACAACAGCTTTGAACAAAACTTTACAATTGTTGATAATGGTTACCGAGTTTTTGCCATGAGACATGGCAAGCGGGTACCTAAGCTCAACAGGCCTCCTGACCAACGGCGTGCACTATTGCGAGGGCTCACCACCCAACTCCTTAAGCATGGTCGAATCAAGACCACCAGAGCAAGAGCCAGTGCTGTACGCAAGTATGTTGACAAAATGATCACACTAGCAAAGGACGGTTCTTTGCATAAAAGGAGACAGGCTTTAGGCTTCATCTACGAAAAGCAGATTGTTCACGCTTTATTTGCAGAAGTCAAAGATAGGTATGGGGAGAGAAATGGTGGATATACCAGAATTTTAAGAACACTGCCTAGGCGAGGGGACAATGCGCCTATGGCATTCATTGAACTTGTCTGAATATTGGCTGGTTGTGTTTGTAGCAGTGAAGTCGAGCAATTCTAGGAATGTTGATGAGGTTTAATCCTTTTTGAGGCGTTGCCACATATATGATTATGAACCTTGTATTAATATCTATGCATATAAACACGTTTACATTTGAGGCATTGCCACATATATGGTCATGAATATTCGGTTTACATTATGGGGCTTTGTCAATTTGTTATTTGAATTCAAACTACATTTAGATGATATTTACTCTGCTGGAGGGCCACGATGACTGTATGTTCTAACCTCATCAACATCATCCTTTGTTCACTTTGTTGTTGATCATTCTGTAACTTTGCCTCTATTTTCTTTTCATGGTATCAAATTTTGCCTTATGAGATCCCACGGCAGTTGTAGAGAGGTACGAAACATTTATAACAATGTAGAAACCTTTAAGAGAAATTCAAAAGGAAAAATTCAAAAAGGACAATATCTAATAGCGGTGGACTTGGGTTATTACAAATGATATTAAAGCTAAACACTGTGTCAACGAAAACGTTAGGCCCTCAAGGGAGTGGATTGTGAGATCTCATATCGGTTGAAGAGGAGAACGAAACATTCCTGGCCCTCAAGGGGTGGATTATCCCACATTGGTTGGAGCGGGGAACGAAACATTCCAAACCCTCAAGCGGGTGGATTATCCCACATCGATTGGAGCGGGGAACAAAACATTCTTGGCCCTCAAGAGGGTAGATTGTGAGATCCCACATCGGCGAGAGAGGGGGACGAAACATTCCTTATAATGATGTGGAAACCATTTTAAAACCTTGAAAACTCAAAAGGGAAAGCCTAAAGGGACAACATCGGCTAGAGATGGATTTGAGTTCTTACATACCTAATACGTAAGCTTCTTGAGTTTAGCCGGTCTCAATGTTGTAGTTCCCTTTTTAATTATACTTGTACATGTCGTAGTTTTTCGGGACGTGCATGCATATGCTCGCTTCAAGGCTTCTTATTGTTAACTATGTCCATTTGATGGCTATGTGACGTGCTAGTGGTCATTGAAAGGTTCATGCTCAAATGTGCTTGAAATTAGCATATCATGGATTCCTAATGTATAATACACATAATGAACACAATTTTGGAACCTATTTAAAACTTTTCAAAATATAAAAGCTAAATAGACAATAATCACAAACACTCTTCAATGTCAAGCTTGACACTAGAAACCCGATAAAGCACCTCCATCGGTACTAACGAGACACTAGTTTACCAAAATTGAAGAAACGTAACATCTTTTGGTAGCATTGAGACATTGTCCTTATCGTCTCAACGTTGTATCGATGTGCAATATATATGCACCTCTCGTGAATCGAAGAAACGGAACCATAGATCTTTTACATAGGACGTTAACCTTATGCCTTACGGATGACCGTTGATGTTCCAAAAATAAAATTAAAAAGAAGAAAAAAAAAAAAAAACTAGAAACATGGAAGTGTGAAAGAACAAGAACCTACCAAAGGAAGCCATAGTAATTCCTTCTCTAATTCACATCCCTCCCGTCTAGTTATGTGAATTGCGGTGTAAAGGGCGATAGGACCCCTAATATTCCGGGAAGGGAGGTTAGTGATCGTTGGTTAACAAACGCCACGGCTTTAATTCTTTTCTTAATCTATGATCATGATGAACACCCAAAACTGAAACTGGCCGGAATCCACCCTGCACCTGCTTGCTCTGTAACGAAGCCATTGTCGAGTGGAAGAAGATACGCGGCGGCGGAAATGGAAGGACTGGAAGGCCTCATAGACAGGCTAATGGAAGGAAGGAAGAACAAAGGCAAGAAGATTCAGCTAATCGAACCAGAAATCCGGCAGCTCTGCACCACCGTCAAGCAAGTCTTCCTCAGCCAGCCCAACCTCTTACAATTGGGAGCTCCGATCAACGTTTGTGGTATAACACCCACTTCCTCCTCATGAATCTATGACTTCATTTGAATTTTGCTATTGTTTTTGCTCGCAGGTGATATCCATGGGCAATATCCGGATCTTCTCCGGCTGTTTGAGATGGGCGGGTTTCCACCGGAGGCCAGCTACCTGTTCCTCGGAGACTATGTGGACAGAGGAAAACAGAGCATCGAAACCATAACCCTTCTCTTCGCGTACAAAATCAAATTCCCGGACAAATTTTTCCTGCTCCGAGGCAACCACGAATGCGCTTCGATCAACCGGATCTACGGATTTTACGACGAATGCAAACGGCGATTCAGCGTCCGGCTATGGAAAATCTTCACAGATTGCTTCAATTGCTTGCCGGTAGCGGCGGTGATAGACGACAAGATCCTCTGTATGCACGGCGGACTTTCCCCGGAAATGCAGAGCTTAGAGGAGGTGGGAGATATAGAGAGACCTATCGACGTGCCGGACCAGGGGCTTCTCTGCGATCTTCTATGGGCGGATCCCGACCGAGAAATCAGAGGCTGGGGCGAGAATGACCGGGGAGTTTCCTTCACGTTCGGCGCCGATAAGGTCACCGATTTCTTGAAGAAACACGATCTCGACCTAATTTGCCGCGCTCATCAGGTCCCTCTTTGCTTTGATTTCGTCTTCATTGAAACCCTAATTTTCGAATTGCTAACTGATTTCGCGCAGGTGGTTGAGGATGGGTATGAGTTTTTTGCAGACAGGCAATTGGTAACGATATTTTCGGCGCCGAATTATTGCGGGGAGTTCGATAACGCCGGCGCTTTCATGACCGTCGACTCCAGCTTGCTATGCTCGTTTCAAATCATTAAGCCCTCCAAATGATGAACCGAACCAGTAGTTCATGAGTTTTTTTCTTCTCTTTTTCTTTCCGAAAACAGCCCAATTACTCGATTTGATCCGATCCGATCCAAATCCAATCCCGGGATTTGTATATAGCCACGGACTTCGACTCTGGGATGTATATACATGGAACCCTGCAATTAATAAAACTAGAACACAGACAGTCAGATTAATTAAAGTTTATATATATCCAAGTAGAATTTGTAGAACACCTCGATCTTTCCTTCGTTTGGAGCTTTTGATTTTCGTTTGAGTTAGCTAAAATCGAGCGTTGAACTGAGTTACAAATGCTATAATGCACATTACTTAGTTTCTATTGTAATTCCATCTTTTACGTTGGTTTTTCTATAATTTTAAAATATAATGAACTTAATTTTGTTCTTTAATATCCTACAAAATTAAATTAATTCTTTAGGTAACAAAAAATACTATAATTTTAAATTTAACAATTTAACGAACAAGTGTTTTTTCATCTTATAGTTTTAAGTTATTAAATCTAAAAAAGTTTTTTTTTTTTTTTTTTTTTTTTTTTTTTTTTTTTTTTTTTTT